AAGTTATGATTATAATATTTTAAATGAGTATGTGTTGAAACTTTTATATAGTGAACAAATAGTGACTAAAATATTATTTTCATTTAATATGATTGACAATAACTTTATAATTTATTTCCGAAATAATGAAAGGGATTTATAGTAAATATCGAGACTTATTTTACTGACATTGAAATCTGAGCTCAATGCTTTACACATAATCTCAAATTATATAAAGTTATTGCTATACACTTAATAAATCAATTTAGTAAACTTAATATTTATCTACCTATGTATTTCAATGTAACACCCATATAAATAAAATACTTGTCAAATATCAATATATCAGTAAAAGTATTGCTTTCTCATTGTGAAATAAATTTGACATTTTTCTATTATTTTATCACTTTTAATAATTTTATAAGAGTTTATTTTGTTACAAAATGTCGGGTTTGATATATTTTAGTTATAGTATGTTTTAATCACAATCTATATTTTATGTGCTATTAATTGTTTTAATCACATTTGCATTATAATTTTTTTTAATATAAATTAAATTTATAATTATCAAACCTAAATAAAATTTGTAATAATATATATAATTCAATAAGTAGTAGATGTAGATTCTTAATAATAATACACATAGATTTTGCGCCGGAAGGTTCAATGTATAATATCGTTGGCGTGAATTAATCATAAACCTCGATAAGATAAATTAAAATCATTACATTCTTAATGTGCAACACGGTTACGCTAATCTAGATAAATTATAACCAATTAGTTAGGCATCTAAAATCAATATAAATAACCTATACTCATACAATATACTCATCAATCAGGTTAAACAATTGCATCGAAACAATTGACTGTATAGTTACATATTGTGCACTCTATTTAAAAATGGCCAACGTGCAGCAATTAATTGTGCTAGCAACAGTAGTATGCTCGGTCTATTCGGCGTCGAACAATACGATTGTCAGCCTGGCCACCAACGCTAATTCTAACGGGAACAATTTAAAAGACTTCAATACTTGTATACTCACTGTTGTTCTAAATGGTAAGTGCGCTGATATCCCGATAACTGGTACCAGTGATCGGGAAATGTGCAATGGTGTCTACCAATTAACAGATTGCATCAAGAGCAATTACGTAAGTCGATTAAAAATTATATATTTGATTTTTTATATTTAATTATAGAATGATTCACCAAGGGGCCCGTATTAGGTAGTAGTGGTAGGGGAGTTACGCCTAAGAGATTTTAATTTTAGAGTGATATGTATGAAAGATCCATAGAGCTAACCAGTTCAACTTAACAGATGTTTAAACTAATAGTCTATTATTAATAGATGTTATATAATACTGTATACTATTATTCATTATGAGTATGCTTATTCAGTATAAAAGTTTAATAAAAGTATTATATACAGTAAATGCTATTTTTCAAAAAGTCTGATATTGTTATTTGTTTATCCGTATTATTTATTTGATTCACCAATTCACTAAATAGGGGGTTTGTACCGCATCGGACAGGGATGATGTGGATCACAATTTTGACATGATTGAGGTGTGCAGAAAGAGTGGCACGCAATGTGTTGGGCAGTCGTATACAAGGCGTTGGTGCGATGACCATGGCTATGGTAAGGACCATGGCCATGACTCGAGCACCATGTTCAAAGCTAACTCGCTAACCATGCTCGGTGGAATCACATTAATTTTATATTATTTATATAAGCATTAAATATTGATTAAGTATTTTTATATTTAAACATTTTTAACGTATATTTTAGTAAATTAATTCAGCATACATGTTTTTAATCAAATACAAAAGTAATCAATTTTGTAATTAAAAAATCTTTTTACTTTTATATTAATAGTATGCTCATTTTCATAAATAAATTTAATAATGTCCTAATTCAATTTATTTCGATAGCTAATAGGTATCATTAACTGGTTTATTTTAAAATATATGAGTAGTAGAAGTAAGTGTTGGCCATTAGTTCCTTTTATCGCCACTTGTAGGGCTAGTGTCGCTCTTGTATGTGTTTTTGCGTCACAATTGCGTTTGATCAATCACAAGTACGCACACAAAGGGTGGGGTAATAGTAACCTAACCCAACACTCGTTGAATGTGTTGTGTTTGTTTACCACTAATGCTGACTAAACTAACATTACCCCAGTTCATTAGTGTTTAAAATACAGTAATGTATTTTGAACACTAGTTGTGCTGAGATAGTGTTTGTATAGTCAGCATTAGAGGGCATTAGTGTTGACTTTGTTGAGCTTACAACCATTGACTGCTAACAAGTCATTCAAGTCCTGGCAACCAATGTGTTCACAATACAACAATGCATCAGCATAAATACGTGTACATCAAGACATCAAAATTAAGTTTATTTTTTATTATATTATTTTAATTTTATACACACACACGTGATCATACAAAGGATTATGTTTGATTTTATAAAATATATTAAAAGGACCCGTACTAATTATTACTTTGATAAATAATTAATTATCGAGCACAGTGGTTGTAACATTATAACGTTTTTATTATTATAAATAATAAGTTTGTAACAATATTAATTACAAAATTGATTAATATATTTAACTATTTTAATAAATATATTATTTAAATATAACTAATTAAAAATATTTTTTCGTCAACCAAGAGTAACTATATTACGATCCACATACAAATTGTAAAACTAACATTACGTTATAGTAAAAAGATCACATTAAATTTTAAGCATAATAAAGTGTTTTACAAAAGGGTATTTTGTCGTTTATTTAGGTTTAAAAATCGTTGAATTGTACGAGAAAAAAATAAAAAATTTTCCAACTATTGTTTTCTGACACCAATCCATCGGTATGCCCCATTTTATTCGGGCATATAGGGAACGATTTATATGCCAGTCCATCAATAACTTAAAAACTAAAAGATCTAGGTAAGTTCTGATTTGGAAGCGCCGGATCAATGAGAAAATTAATTTCTGGATTTCGCGAAATTTTGACTTATTGATTTTTAAAAATTGTTTATTTGCGAGAATTTATTAATTTGAAAACCATTTATCTTAGCAACAACATAATGGATCGAGGTGATCTCAGCTGTGTTCGACTTGTCTTTCAAAATACTAAATAGTATTTGCTTGCACTAATACTGTATCCGGTACACAGAATATTCTAGACTTAAAGTTAATATTCTCTATGTATTCTGAAAATACAAGTAAAGGTGTAAAACAATAAAACACGTATAAAATAAATACATAAAGAAACTTTATTTCTAGATTAAAATATTCTGTGTACCCAATACAGTATCGGTGTAAGCAAGTAATTTTTAGTATTTTGAAAGACCATTCGAACACAGTTGAGATCACCCCGATCCTTTGAGTCGTTGCTGAGATAAATGGATTTCAAATTAACAAATTCTCGCAAATAAACAATTTTTAAAAATCAATAAGTCAAAATTTCGCGAAATGCAGAAATTAGTTTTCTCATATTGATCCTGCACGTAATTTCCAAAAATCAGAACTTACCTAAATCTTGTAGTTAAATTCTCGCAAATAAACAATTTTTAAAAATCAATAAGTCAAAATTTCGCGAAATCCAGAAATTAGTTTTCTCATATTGATCCTGCACGTAATTTCCAAAAATCAGAACTTACCTAAATCTTGTAGTTTTTAACTTATTAATGGACAGGCATATCTACCGTTCCCTTTATGTCTGAATAAAATTGGGCATACCGATGGATTCGTTCCAAAAAACAATAGTTGCAAAATTTTTTATTTTGTTCTCGTACAATTCAACGATCTTAAAACCTAAATAAACGACTAAATGCCCTTTTGTCAAACACTTTATATTATAATACTGTACTGCCAATACAATATTTGCTTAATAATAACTAACTAGTTAATTTTTACAATGAAGCTTTGGATAGACCATAAGCACTTGAACGATTTTCTACCTTGGAATGCTACCATTTCTATATAAATATTATCCAGGTCATCACGAAAACCAATCTCGTCTGTCAACAACTTTTTCAAATCACTCACAGAATTAAGCCTACAATTAATAGGTAAACAAATGGGTAACTCGATATGCTCTGTCTTGATATATATGTTTATGGTAAATTATTAACAAATATTATGAAATGTAGCACAAAATTTTGTAATTAATAAAGTTATAAGGCCAACTTAAATACAGAGATTTATTGATTGATAGTAAACATTAATTAGTTGTGTGCGTTTTAATAAACCTCAGAATATGACCTTCATTAGTTGATAACATTTTTAGTTTAACATTGATAAAATATCTTAGTATATATTTTAACATAATAATATAAACCTGTAGCACAATGGCATAATATTGTAGATAAAGTTTTAATTATATTTTATAATACTTATTGTTTATAACACTAATGACTAGATTTAGTTTACATTATTATAATGTAAGCCATATGACTAAACTTTGAACACAAAATTGTATCACATATTCTTATCACAGTTAGTCATACATATTGCTGTATAGCAGTATGTGGTGCCGCGCGCACAATGGAATGCTTGCACTCCATTGCTTAGGGTTTGGCTGCTGTTGCCAACGCCACACAACTTTTATTGTTGAGTCCCATACGAGACAGTTTGATTACTAGATAGTGATCACAGTTTTATGAATAATTTAAATAATAATATAAATGTTTATCATAAAATGACTTAAAATTTATTGACTATAAATTAGTGTTGAGTGCGCAATAACCAGCGACCAACTAACCCGACCCGCAGCCGAGGGCCACCGCAGAGCCTAACCCTCTGCAATATTACCAATTATATTAAGATCCCTAACATGTAATCAGGAGATCGCGGGTTCAATACCCGGACGCGACCTTTTAATAAAACATGTCCTGAATTTTATATTTGATTTACAAAAATAAACAATAAAATATCAAATATGATAATAGAATTTTTGACATCCTCGTATAAATTGCCCTTTATTTTACTGATATATAATATTTATTTAATTTTCATTTAATAATTTTTCAATATTAGAATTATTTTCTATAATTAAATTTATTTTATAATGAGACCTTTATGGACAAGCGCATTTACGTTATAATAAATAACAATAAGTTAGTAAATTAATATCTTATATTTGAGTGTGCAATCAATTGTGCAAGTAATTTTATTAACCCTACATCTAAGTAAGATAATTCAAAAAAATTACTTGTCTGTTATGAAACAGACTATAAATTTATATTGACAAATACACTTTCATTGATTATTACATTAAACAAAATAATTTTTTATTAAACAAAAAATAATTTTTAACTATTTGTTGTATTTAAATGATATTTAAAATGACACACGTATATTTTAGCATTCCATTATCTGCAACATACAGGACATCGATCAATTAAAACTGGTCAATCGGACCACCATGATAATTCTATAAATATTATATCATTACAATAAATTTTTCAAACACTTTATAGAAAATATAAAAAA